TCACACACTTTCCCCGTCTTTCGAACAGAAGTAGGTGTTTATCTATTCTTTCCTGATTAAGGTTGATTTTCCGGATATTTTAAAATATCAATAGGTTTCCGCATTGTCGTAAAATAATGTTTAATAAGCTGCATGATTTATGACCGGAACTGCACAAATGTGCCCACAAGTTTCACAAGGTTACTGTCCAAGAGCGCTTGAATGCGCTCGTAATTGGTAATAGTCTATTTCAATGTACAACCTTAATACACTATTTACCTTATTCGGACTATTGTACTCATCTTGTTGCCACATTTATCAGAACGTTTCGGCCGTTGTACCCTCCGGCCTTCTTCAGGTGGTTGGAATGCCGTACTGAACTCTTTATTTCACTCACTGGGCTAGACTGGTTTAATTCCACGTGCCATGTCTAATGGATGTCAGTTATCCGTTATCTCCTGTTAATTCACCTCTCCAAGTTTTCGACTGCCTTAACCAGGTATTGAACTCACAAATTTTTGGTTCCTGTCACTGGATCTAACTAACGCCTTTATTCACTGTGTCATGTGACCTTAAAACAACTCTCAAACTAGAAGCGCCGGAAATCTACAGTCGCTTGAAAATCTGTAACATTATATAAATTATAAGTTTCTAAAACCATATCTCATGACCAGTAGCACCAAGAGGGTTAATGACGAAACTTGATACACTTAGATATGCTTGATTACACTCATGACTATATATATTTCCACTGCAGTCATTTTCGTTAGCGTGAAGTAGTGAATACGTTTATGCCAAAACCGAGCTAAAATTCGAAATGTCAATTCCCTCCAATAGAAGGATATCTCATTCTCTCGTCAACGATAACATATCTTGGGTTAGCTGACAAAGCTTCATCGTCTATGACTCAATGCTAACGGGGCATTGAATGCTCAGGAAAATACAAAGAGGAACTGTCAAAGTAATAAACTAGTTTTCCCTTTATATATAAACACAAAGAGACAATCCTCCTAGCTGTAACTAGCCGAGGAAGATTTAGGCTGCAGTACAACAAAGAAACAAATAAATGGACAGTCTTGATAAAAGGTAAAAATATACAGTCTGAAAACATGTCGCCGCCAAGTTTGATCAGGACGATTAAGCTGACATTTCTAGAAATAGCAACCAAATCAGTCATCCAGTGTAGAGAACATTGGAGCAAACATCTTGGCGATTCTATGTTGATCAAATGCCCACGATCCACTCCATCTGTCATATTTTTATTTCAAACAATGTAGATAAATAATCAACTGTCACGGCTAAAAGTGAGTTGATGCAAAAGCTGTGAAAGTTCGATACTTTAGTATTTTAAATTCCATCCTACTGACCTTTGACTAAAACAAAAGAAGTCCAAAATAAAGATATAGAATAGAGCAAAACATTTAGCCTACTCTCTGCTGCAAGGGAATTAGAAATTCCCGACACGGAAAAATTTCCTTTAAAAAGGTTACGTTATAAATCATAAAACCATGTATTTTCATTTAATAAATAATCCGAATTCAGAATGCTTCTAATAATGCTTCAAATTTATAATATATGTACAGATTATCATTAAAAACTATATGGTCAATGTTTATACCAGCAAAAAGTAATAATGATAGCACGAGAGTTATAAACAGATCGACAAGCCAGCTTATAAGTAAACACAGAGAAGACAAAAATGTGATTAAGAAACAAAAAAATCAAAATGGCTTCCTGATATCGGTGAAAGACGAGGTTAGTATTGAGTGACGTCTGGGTCAAGTACCATCGGCCGCAATAGTACAAATATTAAAACAAAATTGACAATAATAGACCTGAATGCTTATAATTGATAAACTGGATTACTGGGCGTCGGTCTAGGACAAAATTAAAGGAGAATTGCTCGCCAAGTTGAGAGAACAGCAACAGAGTTTAATTGGGGCCATTGAATCACGGGATTTGCAAGGCGGGAAAATGATTGATTGATGCTGAGGTCCTCGGAGCCGCCATGTTCAACCGCTGATACCAACGCACCATGACCCAGCCTGCCTTTTCTGGATTGATAGTAGCACTATCAGTCGGCCATTAGTCGGAAAGATTTGATTTGGGCTTTCGAGCGCTTTTATTCCTTCCAATTCCAGGCATTAACTCTTTGTTTTCATAATCATTCTCAACGCTTTCATTTTTTCACTATATATATATATATATATATATATATATATATATATATATATATATATATATATATATATATATATATATATATATATATGTATGTATGTATGTATGTATAATCACCAAAAGCTTGGAATAAATCCTTAAATGGGTTCCCTTCCAATTTAAAAAGAGTTTATGTCTATAAAGTCTTGATTAGAGTTGCATATAACTTTACAGTTCTTATGGACAGTGTTCGAAGTAGAATTACAAATGCTGTGCTTACGGCCATATTATGTTGAAACACCGCTTCCTGTATGACCACCGAAGTTAAGCAACGTCGAGTCTGGCCAATACTTAGATGGGTGACCGCTTGGGAATACCAGTAGGCTCAGAATTGTTAATCGGAGAGCCGAGTCGCAATTCCAGTTGGGTTCGTTAAATTCACTCAAGCACAAATACTTATATATATATATATATATATATATATAATTCCAGTTTTTCGGTTTTGTAAGTTGCCTTCCAAAAGCTAAGCTGAGTATTAAGAAACAGTAAAACTTCATTAGAAACTAAGAAAACAGTTCCAAACTGTTACATCATAGCTGCCCTCCTATATGGCAGTGAATGGTGAATAGTGGTCTCAAAGTTAAAGAAAAGACCTGAAACAACAGAAATGTGATTCTACAAAAGGATGCAGAGGGTACCATGGACCGAATAAGTGAGCAACGACGGAGTTTTAGAGAAAATGGAAACAACAAAGAAACATATTCTTAACATTAGGAAGGGACAGTTGACATTTCTAGGGCACATAATCAGGAAAATTTGATACTCACAGGACAGACTGAATGCAAGAGGGACAAAAGAAAACAATGCGTAGCATACTTAGTGAGCTTGAGTAAATGGTTCGTGGAACAAGTTTTAGGAGAAATAACAAAAAGACAAAATTTATTAAGAGCTACGAAAGACAGGAAATTATGGAGAACCATGATCACCTACGTTCTTAATCGGCACGGTATATATAAAAAAATGCCATTACCTTTATCTATCTCCATATTTTTTTTTGTTTTTCAAGAGCAACAATCATACCCCATTCTCATCCGTTTCTTTGTTTGCTATCCGTAGGTTTACACATGGCCCAGTGGATAAAAACGTTGTTTGAGTATTCTATAAATGACTTGACCCAAACAGACAGAGGCAACAAAAACTTAGAGAGTTGAGTTACTAAAGGGAATTAACTAACACTGATATATCCCCCCCCTAAAAAAATAAAGACGTGGACGTGTAATTAGAGCAATCTACACACAGTGTTTCGGTTCGAAATTTCAATGTATATCACCTAAAGAAGGCCGGGGCTTACAATGGCCGAAAAATCGTGGATATGGCAATAAAGATGAGCACAACAGTCCGAACGATATAAATAGCGTAAATAGTTACAATAACTCATCTCACAAATACAGACAGTTGTTTTCTTAAGATGTTATCCATTTTTCGAAACAGTCTCACTTTTCATTCGAACATAGACACAGCCCGACAGAAAGTGTCTAATAATGCAATGAATTTTGCACAAAGGTGCCAAACAAAAGCTCAGGACTTGAATTTGCTTCAAATAAGAATTCATACGATTCCAAAATGGTTAAATGGTTAAGGAACTTTTTTTATTCCTTCTGGTCGGTCAAAACCTAGAATTAATCTAAGTGACATTCAACTTATTTTAAGTATAGAGAATATAGGATAGAAATCAATTAAGCATTTTACTTCGATAACTAATACTATGAATTACTCTATTTAACAATTGCGGTATCCCGGTTTATCGCTAGTAATTTACGGTCCTCTCTGATTTCATGAAAATACATGATCACATATTTGCCTAAGGGATGTGTACCACTAATTCATACAGGGTAATATAGTGATAGTTCTTGATCAACTACATTTTACTTCTTTCTGGTCATATTTAATTTTCGCTTAATGTAAATTAATCTTTTGACATGTCATTCAGTTCACTACTAACACTATGGATAATAGTGATTTACTAAGAGTAGTTTAGATATGGCACAAGACCGCAATTATGGGGAACTCGATGTGGATCAAACTCAATTAGTTGAATCGAATTAGTTGATCATTTTTTAAATTTTCATTATGCCACATAGCGGCAAGATTTGGTTTGGTTTGGTTTGTTTTACGGCATATCAACCTCGATGGTTTATTTAATGCCAACAAGATTTTTATTGCTGGAATATTTTTGTCTTCAAAAATGTATTGATGGTAATATTTTTTTTTCTTCAAAAATGTATTGATGGTAATATTTCTTTCCTTCAAAAATATGTTGCTGGTAATAATGTTGTTTTTTTATGTATTGCTGGTAATAATGTATTGCTGGTAATAATATTTTCCTTCAAAAATTCATTGCTGATAATAATTTTTACAAAAATGTATTACTAGTACTAAAACCTATTTTTAGACTTTCATAGTGTTTTGACCCCATTTGGGGTTTAACTATTTGCCCATAGCTTAGACCCTAACAGGTGCTACCACTTCGGGTCAGGGTTGATATGGGAACAACAGCAATTAAGAGGTGCTTCCACGGTCCTCAAAATCTCCTGATCAGAGGCCTTGCTGCCGGATGTAGTTTATCGTCATATCCAGGGCGGCATGGCGGCAAGATCCCAACAATTCAATGATATCCCGTCATTTCGACCAGTGTGTTTGATTGATTCGTTTTTTGCAGCTTATCAACTGTTTAGAGGATATTTACAGACAGAAAATATTTGTAGATAATAAGAACTTTTTAAAGTGAATATAACGAACACAACTGAAATTGGAACTCGGCTATCCGAGCCATTATCCATTACACCACGCGCACATCCACGCTGACACCACCTGGTATTCCCAAAGCGGTCACCCATCTAATTACTGACTAAACATGGCTTAACTTTGATGATCGTACGGGAACCGGTGTTTCAACGTGATATGGCCATAAAACCGATTGGGAGGCGTCAATATTGAAATGGTGATTGGGTTATAACACAGTACGTGTATTTTTTCAGCTATAGTAAAGCAACTATCCGTATTGAAATCATAAGCGAGTCTTAAAAGTAGATAGCATAACGAAATCTTTACCTTAAGTAAAAAGTATATATACATACACAGGGTGCGATGGGTAAATTGTCGCCATTTTATATTTTTCATTTCATGCATGCACGTTGTTTGTTATTTTGTTGACTGCACAGTATAGAAGACCCAATTAGCAACCTTCTGTGAGAAATTTGTTTTCTCATTTAATTATAGTAGCATTTTGTAAATCAAAATTGTGACCAGTCTCGTTACGTTGAGTGACTAATGCATTTAATGTGTACTTTTGTAAACAATCGCTTTTGTGTCCATATAATATTTTATTTAAACTCCTTAAGGGTTCTCCGATGTATTCCTTGTGGCAATTATTACTGATAGGTAATCGAGTAAATTCCTCCTTCAAGTTTTAGCTTACTATATTGTTCTCTGTCAAATAAGTCTTTTATTATTTTAGACGTAGTTGTGACAAATTTTATTTTGAGTTTAGATAAATTCATTTTAATTGTTGTGATAGAGTCGCTGGGTAGAACAATATTTGATTCCAAGGCGTTGTCAGGAAGGACCGCTTTTCTATTTTGAAATATTTTATGAGCCGTTTGTTTCCCATTGATCAAAATTTGAATTTAAAACATACTACTTGGTCTTGACAGATCTTCTATTATCACATTGTGGAATATTTAATAACGAAAGTGATGGAAAATATAAACAAAAAGGAAATTATTCTATTATATATCCCAAGCACATATTAATAAATTCTCGGCGTCTCTCTTTCGTTCGTACGCATGTGTAGTCACATCAACGTAAACATAAACTTATTCTGATGAAGTCCTAAAGGACGAAACGCCTCACATGAAAAAAAATTGAAAAAATGGAAGAAAAAAAAATACATATATATATTCATATATATATTCATATATATATATATATATATATATATATATTTCATATATATGTGTGTGTTCTTGCGTGTGTGTGTAATCGTCGTTATAGCATGTTTTTGCACACAAATTTGTTTTTACGTATAGAAATTTCGTTTAACTTAAATGGAAACGGAATTATATAAATTGCGAATAAGTGCCGTAGACGGTAAATTTTCTAACAAATCATCATTGAAGTTTAGAGTTCGAACTACACTACAATAAAAGTAAATACTTTTATTATGTACAACAGTTGCCCCAACTGGGAATCTACGCCCTCCTTCCATAAATTCAATTGTTAAATTCCGACAATCGACAGCAATCGATGAAAAGCGCCGAGAATTGGTCAACCGGAAATGTGTCGACTTCCATCAGGACAACGTAAGACTTCACGTCTCTTTGCAGACCCGGTAGAATTTGGCGCTGCTTGGTTGAGATGCCCTACTACACACGCCGGACTCACCCTGATCTCGCACCTTCCAATTACCACTTACTTCGCTCTTTACAAGGTTCTCTTAATAAGAGCTTCAATACTCTGGAAGCGTGTAAAAACCACTTCGAAGAGTTTATCACCCAGAAAAATACCAAATCTTGGATGCGATGGCATCATGAAGCTGCCTCAAATGTGGCGAAAGCTAGTGGGACAAAATAGTTGATTAAATCTATGTGCAAATATATAAATAATGTTTTTAAAATTCTCTTTAAAAAAGCTATGATCTTTTGTTCCGATCCAATAGGTCTGAGATCCGCGTCAATTCTTTATATTGAATGCTGAATTTACGGAAGAAATATTATGTAAGTAATTAGAAAACTATGTATATTTCTGAGATGAAGTGCTGTAACTATTTACATTGTTCGGACTGTTGTCCTCATCTTTATTCCCATATTCACGACGTTGTACGCTCCGACCTACTTCAGGTGATATATGTGAGAACCACTAATACAGAGAGCTAGAGAAAAAGCAACAATAATAGAAATTGAAATATGAGATCCCTTAAAAAATTGTTACTAAGACATTAGGTTTATAAGTAATAAAAAAAAATCACTCACTGTTGTCCCCAAGAAGACAGTAGATAAAAGCGTTGGTTGATTAAGCCAAAAATGACTTGAAACAAAAAGTTATGAGTTCAATACCTGGCCATAGCAGAGGGAACAAAAAAACTTGGAGAGTTGAGTTACTAAAGGGAATTAACTTTGAATTGAGATAACCCCGACCAAAAAAGGCATGGCACGTGGAATTAGAATAAACTACCTCAGTGGACAAAATAAAGGGTTCGGTTCGAAATTCACCTGAAGAAGCTCAGAGCGTAAAACGAACGAAATGTCATGAATATGGCAATAAAGATGAGGACAACAGCCCGAACGATGTAAATATTCAGAAAACCAATCTAAAATCATCCGGTTTAATAGAGGCCAGTAGTGTTCTATAGTAAAGTAGATTTTTATTTTACTAAATGTCCATCCAATAGCTATTGAAGTTAGAGGGTTACTGATTGTACGCAAGTAGAGGAAGTACATGCAGTTTATGGCATCATGTGTACGACAGATAACGGTTGACCCTAGATCTTAAGAGATTAAAATTATAGTGATAGAGAAAACATCCTCTTGGTAGTCCATCGCACAAAGAAGCGGTTTTCGTGAAAAAGCTATCTGCTTGTGCTAATTTACCCAGCTTCCAAATATGATTGTAACAAAGAAAAATGTCCACAATAATAATTTATGTGCGCCACTCAAACTGCAAACTTCTCCATGACGTTATTAACCCTTACTAAAAACTGACTTAGTCACGAAATGTCCCAAAACTTACAAGACGAAAAAGTGTTTTTCTGTATTTCAGCACCTGTTAATTCTTGCCATATGTCGCCACCTATTGAGTAAAGTGTTGATAAAAGAGAACTCAGTGACCGTAATGGATTTAACATCACGTTTTTAAACACTGCTGCTTGTCAAAAGAATAAAAGATGCTAGAATCAAAAAAGAATAAAAGACTAGCTTCGAAGATGATCATACGTTTTTAAAAAGGGAGGGGAGAGAAATTGAGCCATTCTGTTTAAACAGGTTGAGAATTGATAAAAATTGGGTTTGCTATTTCTCTTTCACTGCTGCTTTATTATTAAAATATCATTGGCCGATTACTATACAAGCTGAATATGGTTCTGGAATTAATTTTTAAATCCTTAATGAGTTAACCAATGAACGTATCAGAGATTAGGAAATGTATTTTTATAATGCCATGTTCCGTCAGAATTTAGGCGAATAAAAGTCTGCAGATTCCTCTTTATCATGTGGGAATTACCAAACATTTTTTTTTGGGGGGGGGAATCTTCGCGTAGTCGTTTCTTGTTGCCTAAGTAGAACATGGACGGAAAACGTGAACAACAATGACGTTTTCGAGAAAACTTAACATCAACAAGAGGCAGCTGAAATTTCTGGAACATGTAATGAGAAAGGAGGGCTTAGAGAATCTGATACTCACATGGCGGGTAGAGGCAAATAGGGACAAGAGAAAGCAACGTGTGACATACCTAGCGGGCTTAATTAAGCAAGTGGATGACGGAACAGGGTTTGGGAGAAGTAGCAAAAGAACAAAACATATTGAGCGCTACAAGGGATAGGAGGAAGTGAAGAGCCATGATCGACTACGTCCTGAAGAGACACGACACATAAAATGAGAAGAAAGTCGAAACCTGATTCACTTACAATCTTAATTATTCATATTTTCAGAATACCAATACAGTTATTTTCTTTCAATTGCGCTTTATCTATCAATTTTCAGGTATAATTCTCAGGTGAATCGTAAAGAAAACCTCATAATTTAGTATTCATAGGGCCGCACTTATTAAACTATAAATAGTTGCGTATATATTCGCATATTCATCTCCTGGAAAACATTCGTTTGAAATTAGGTTAGTTTTGGTTTGGTTTACGACATAATCAACCTTTTCCAAGATATTTAAAGTTAAATTCTGTCTTTCGATAAACAGCAGATAGGTATATTATGTCAAGTCAATCTTCGTATGCTACTGGTACCATATAAACAAATACTATTTGCCACATGATCGGGGCATCGGCGACTAAACCGGTCCCTTCACCGGGCTTTTCTAGTGGCTAGGGTCTATAGATACCGATTAGGATCAGACATAAGACATGTCAAAGAGTACATGAACCTTCTTTTACAAGATCAATAGCCTATCTACCACAATGGATTATTCTGGAGCTATGTATCCAACCGGTTTGGTGATGACACCTCATGGCTCGACAGATGGCTTCCTAGACTGAATTCACTGATCAGGTCGGAAAGTTTCTCGCGACAGAATCAACGGCCACGTATCTGTGACTGTCGAGTTTTGGAGTTGAAGGACATCGGTTGTAGTTTGACCTGGATGAGCTCCGCCATGTCTACTTGTCCAAGACACGTTACCTATAAATGTATAACTTTCCGTCTTTCAACCTAGATATGTGTGGTGAAATGGTCAGACGCTCAGTTGCACAGAGACCCTGCGACCATCAATAAACATGAGATGGATGATGATAATGATGATGAGTAGATATGGGTACCATTTGCACAAGAATGACAAAGGTAACCATATATACGGCAAACACGCGGACTCTGAATTAAGATGCAACCTCCAAAAGACATGATCTGGCCAGATGCTCAGTTGCACAGAGACCCTACGACCACAAAAGAAAATGCCAATAAATTATAAACAAATGAAAATACTAGATTGACCAGAAAGGTCAATCTAGTATTTTCACTTAGGAATCGGAAAGAAAACAACAAATCTTGATCGCTGTCTGGTGAAATTTCCGAGGAGTACCGAATTTCGAGCTTGTTCCACACGGTCGCGCCATCAACGCTAACTGTATTGCCAGCAGCTAGACAGCGTGTACGACAAACTAAATAAGGAGTATCCTGTTTTGGTAAATCTAGATCGGACTTTGTTTCAGAAAGACAATGTGAGGCCACAGCCTACCAGTTTTGAAAAAAGA